AAGGATCTCCGGGATAAAGTTGTGGACAGGCACAAGTCATGAGATGGACACAAAAAAATTCAAAGGCTTTATCAATGCCTAGAAGCACAGTGAAGTCTATTAGTTTGGTACAACACAGACCCTCCCTGGATCAGAACGTCGCTCCAAACTGGATGAAAGAGCCTGGAGAAAACTGGTCAGAGTGGCAACCAAGAGGCCTACAACAACTCTGAAGCAGGAATTTATGACAAAGAGTGGTCATTGTGTGCATGTGACAACATTTATGACAAAGAGTAGTCATTGTATGCATGACACAATATCACAGATTCTCCACAAATGGGGCTTGAATGGGAGGGTTGCAAGAAAAAAGCCGCCACTCAAGAAAGGCCACATGCAGTCATGACTGAACTTTGCCAAAACACACCTTGAAGATTCTGAGGCAGATGAGACTAAAATTGAATTATTTGGCCTCAACACCAAACGATATGTCATGTGGAAATCCAATACAGCTCACCGTCCAAATAGCAGCATTCCTACAGTAAAGCATGGAGGTGGTAATATCCTGTTATGTGGTGTTTCTCTGCAGCAGGGACTGGAGCACTAGTCAGGATAGAAGGACAAATGGATGGGGCAAAATACTGTCAAATTCTTGAGGAAAAAATCTGCTGCCCTCTGCCAAAAAGTCATCAATGGGAAGGTTTACCTTCCAACATGACAATGACCCATTTTTGAACTTCCTTTTCATCAAAGAATCCTGTAAAAGAAGAAGGATCATGTGACACTGAAGACTGGAGTAATGGCTGCTGAAAATTCAGCTATGCCTTCACAGATATACATTACTTTAAAATGTGTTAAAGCAGAAAAAAATCATTTTAAATTTTTATACTTCACAATATTACTGTTAAATTTACTGTATTTTTGACTAAATAAATGCAGCCTTTCTGAGCATAAGAGATTAATTTCCAAAACATAAAAAAAAACCCACCAAACTTTTGAATGGTAGTGTACATCTAATATAACTAAAACATATTTGTTTTCAAATTAAACACAACAACAGATGTTTAGCACTCAGGGTGAAACACACTTAACCTTGAACTTCCAATTCACTGAAGTTTTTCCACCTTGCCCAAGAATGCCAAGCTTTATTACATTCAATTTATTTGAAGGTAAGATCACATCCCTTGCTCTGCGAATAAGCGCTGGGCCACATCACTGAGAAAACATCCAGATATTATTTAATTTTGAAATAACCCCACTTCCCTCTCATTTAAAGCATCTTGCGGTCTAATATTAAACCTATGCCCATAGGACTAAAGTTTCTATAAATATTCAAGTCCTCTGCCTCACGAGGAAAACAAAGGCAATGAATCATAGCTCATGTCTGTAATCTTGATTACATAAACTTGCATCCTCAACCACTAAGCAACATGAGGCCACTGGTGATTTTAAGCATTTTGGCCAAGTTGTCAGTGCCAGTCTAGCCAAGCACCAATTAATCCTAATGCTACAGTTTGAATGACTCATAATACAGCCAGCAGCTTGTTTAAGCAGGCTCGTTGATTAACAATAAAGTGCACTCTCATTCACTCATTTTATTAAACAAGGTGAAAAGATTCCCATCAAATGGGTCTGATCAGTTAATGCACAGTAATCACACATGAAATTAAAGCTGAGGTGTGTAATTTCAGCCCCGCTGGCATCACAAAACGGAACTGCGAAATTAGTGATTGTTTTCAAATAGACTTCACACTCCCTGCGTCTGCTGTTGCTCAGAAAAAAAAAACTGTTAAATCTTAGTTTTAACTACAAAAATAGAATGTTAAATTATTCAGAACAAAACTTTTCCCCAATTGTTTGGTTTCGATAATTGAAACTTGCATTCTGAAAGATTCAGTATGTTTCCATAGTACATTGAACTCTGACCTCAAAAAGTAAAGGACATTTTGATTCCTCATGATATGAACACTTTAATCCAGACATCAGCAAAACAACTTGACAAGACTTTCAATGATGTTGTTTTGTGCTTCCATCTTCTGGTAGAATGATGTAATTGCGGTGAAAATTAATTTTATTTTCCAAATAAAAACCAAATGTCTTAAGGTGATGCATAAAGTGAGCATTCCTGGTTCATTCCTGGTTCAATATGAATTAAAATTTACATTTAATAACAATTACATTTAAAACAACAGTTCAACATCTTGAAATAGACTTTCCCTCCTTAATCTATACTCCCACCCTGTAAAACCCACAATGACAAAGTTCAAGCAAACAGCTAAGCAGATTGTTGCTGAGAAGGGCTTTTCATTGTTTGTACGGCTGATCTATTATTGACGCTCTAAAACAATCTTGCTGTTTAGATGTGATTGTGCAAACAGGAAAGATAAATATTTAATCAACAGCTTCTTGAAATTGAGTTGACCTAAAGGGAATTGGGAACATCAACTACAGGCTAAAAAAGCAGAGGATGGATGGAGGGTGGAGAGTTTGTAGCTCTTACCAGCAGTTATAATCTGCAGTGTCCATGGATGTTTGGCCATCAGTGCCTGATAAGATCTCCAAAGGCCCGCCATGTGACAAAGTCTAAGAAAAACACAGGACTATTGAAATTACTGCAATGAAAACTGCTTCAGAGATAGAAAAATAGCTGACAACTTGAACAATAGCTAATAATTTGTATGTGGCAAGAATAATATCAATGTCATATCATCATGGCACTTCGGCTACTGATAGATAAATGATCTAACAAATCTCTTTTTACTTTATGCAACATCATCTGATCAACAAATGCAAACCAATATTTGATCCCAAACTAGTTACTGACTAGTTATTAACCAAGATTTGCTTATGTTCTTACATATGATTCATTAAAAAAGGATTCAAAAAGCCGTTCATTCAAGATTCCGACAACACTGGCCATGATATATGCGTATGATTCACTAAAAAGAACCGGTTCATAAGATTCATTCATTTTGGACTACACTGGTCACGCTGTTTATTTTTATTCACAAAGAAGAATCGATTCATTGGAGTCGTTCATTTGGAATTCAGACTACACTTGTGGCACTGTGCGTTTTGGATTCATGTTTCAGTTTTAAGGTGCTTTATTGGCTTGACAACTATCTTTACATTCCGATTGTCAAAGCATTCTGTGTAAAGCCCAGTGTAAAATGACAAAAGCAGTGCAAAATGACAATAAAAGAAAATCAGAAAGAGCTTTGCCAAGCATGTTTACACACACAAGAAATTTGTCTTGGCGACAGGAACTTCCAGTGAAAAAGAAGCAGGCTGCATTAAAGAATACAATGCATTTAAAAGTAAATAATAATAATAAAAAAAGTAATTGAAAATAATAAAATATGAAATATTCTCTGATTCTCTGAAAAACAACGGCTCATAACAGTCAATCATTTGGATATCGGACTACACTGATTGTGTTCATTAGTATGGCGGGCCGGAAGGTCCAAAAATAAGACTAATAACTTGTTGCGGGAAGTCACTATACTATTGCCAGCAGCTACTGAGTTTGCCACGACTCACCTTCCTCACACGGCGGGCGACTCACTCTCCTCAGCTGGCGACTCACTCTCCTCACACTGTGAGGAGAGTGAGTCGCCAGCTGAGGAGAGTGAGTCGCCCGTGTGAGGAGAGTGAGTCGCCAGCTGAGGAGAGTGAGTCGCCCGTGTGAGGAGAGTGAGTCGCCAGCTGAGGAGAGTGAGTCGCCCGTGTGAGGAGAGTGAGTCGCCAGCTGAGGAGAGTGAGTCGCCCGCCATGTGAGTCGTGGCAAACTCAGTAGCTCCTGGCAATAGTATAGTGACTTCCCGCAACAAGTTATTAGTCTTATTTTTGGACCTTCCGGCCAACCATACATTAGAAGAATCGGATTGTGTTGTGCATTTTTAATTCATTAGAAGAATCGGCTCATGAGAGTCATTTATTCGGGAATCGGACTACACAGTAGCGTGCAGTGTACTGTATATTTTGCGCTGCTTAACATGGTGTTGCGGCACCCGGTGAATGAACTCTGTCAAATTTTAATACGGTAAAAGCATGCTCCACAATTGTAAACGGAACATGTTCCCAAACTTAATAATCCGTACTGAGCATCCCTGCTTTTATAAGGTTCAGTTGCACTCTTACAGTGATGAAAGTCTCGCGCTTTGGCTCAAAGGCGCGAGCAGTGTGCGTGCCATAAAACGTGATGTATTTCCAAACTTAAAAACAACACGTTTTTATGTTTTACAAAACCATATACGGACAATTCTGTTTCTCACAATCCTGGCATACAAAACTAAGAATGTGTCATCCATTGTACATTTTTATTTTCATTTATTTAATACAATTTGTCTCTCAAGTGCCTATAACAAAGCTTACGCAACGCGCATTAAAACTACTATTTTTATAACTCTTGCACAGTCAGTTTCATCCCGTATGGAGACTTAAGTTAGGCAGAAGTGTAGTCCTACCTTGTCACGCAAACAGAAGTGATACAGTGCGTGTTTAGAGATGTTGGTGTTGCTGAAATTAAAGAGGTATGACTGCTGCTTTCAAAGACCCCTAAGTCAAAAGAGGAAGGGAAGTGACTTCCGAAGATGTGGCTTAAGTTTAAACACACTCGCTGAACTCATTCAGTCTTGTTTGTACTTGTATCAAGACAGCCTGAGAGATGTTTGACATAATTCATTTTTACCCCAAAGTCAATAAAATAACGTGATGCTCGAGGTGGTGTGAAGCAAGCAAACGCTTCAAAGCCCAAGATATTTCAAAATAAAAGTCCCACTCGAGAATTAATTTAACTATTGGAATTCAAATGTTTTTTTCTGTGTGTGTGCTGATTTTAAACACAGTTTAAAACCCTCTTAAATTAGAATAATTTTTTGAACAATTATATTTATAGCAAAGTGTATCTGGAATTGATTTTTGGTTAAGACTAATAAAACTGAAAGGACATACACTTGTTACACTTACATTTTTGCAATTTTTGAAGGAGAGAAAAAAAAAAAAGACAGACTTAAGCACAAAATATTTTATTGCGCTATTTATTCAGACAGAAAAAAATGTTCCAACAGAAGTGGAATGGCTTACAACACTGGAGGTCAGTTTAAAGCTCGTAAACAGATAACCCAGGGAAATGTTACATATACAACAAAATCATTACAGTACACATTTGTGGAGAGAGAAAATATTTTTTCCCTTATAATATTTCTGCCAATATAGTTAAGTCTGAAGTCCATTACTGAGATTTAATTTAGAATAACACATAACCAAGCCATAAAATCACTGTACAAAAAAATAAATAAAAACAAAACAAATGGCAGGTCCAATTAGAAAACAAACATACAAAGAAAAGTAAGACAAAGACATCATTTTCATTACTACATAATGTCAAGTGGGACCAAACAGACAAATAAAATTTTAATTAAATGCCATTGAAATAATGTGCAACACTCTGCTTTAGGTGAGAATGTGATCAAACTGTTTGCTTACATAAATTTAAGTTCATCTCGGGCTGCTGTATTTGCATTTTGGCACTATTAGTTTGATCAGGTTTATTGAAGAAAAAAAAGAGCATTAGATGACATAACAGTGAAAGTTCAGGAGAAGCACATGTTTTGCTCTCGTTTGGTTTAATTTCTGCTAGAAGACTCCCAAAATGTTCTTCAATAATTTTTTCTCAACTTCTGTCATTGCAAATCAATTTGTCGTTGACTCTAATCAATCAGGCATGACAAATAAACCAATGAAAAATAAATATACATTATCTACAATTTAAAATTCAAGTATGTAATAGAAAACTATAAACCTAATTTTGTTCCCCTCTGTGGCACTGTAGTGCTAAATACTAAAACCAATGATGAGAGGAAAATTATTCCTTTGGACTTAAAATTGAAATTTCTATTAACAAAAGTCCCTTTTCAATATTTCATGAATTCCCCACATTTTCACACACACACACACACACACACACACACACACACACACACATTGGCACTTCACATCTGTATCGCCTTCAAGACACCAATCAAAAGTCAAAACAACAAAGTAAAAGTAGATTAAACAACAGATGTATTGTTTATAAGCAGAATTGCAGCATTGCAGTAAACAGTGATATCTATTTGTGCTTGGGCTACTATTCAAGGTAGTAACATTTATGCAGATTTTTAGTAAAGCTGCAATATTAAAGGCAGGTTAAATTGAAGCAAGCATGTGTTTCGTTCACTTAGTATAAAATGTCAATTTGATCAAGCACTTCAAATGAACATGTATGCCATATATGCTATACAACCGAAAGAGAAGTCAAGTCAAGACAAGACAAGACAACAAGAAACCAGCTAACAAACATTGAGTATGAGCTGTGTTTGCAATCAATTACATACAGTATACTGTATTCTACACAGTATATACTGTATACTCGTACTACTGAAAAACAGTACAAGGTAGTTTGGTAGTATGCCATTTCAAACACTCCCATGAAGAAACTGTGGTGTGCCCTTATTATTCCACTCTTATCATTTCTTAGTTCAAGTATTAATGAAAAACTCTTAAATTGTGATGTCATGTGGGCACTGCAAGGAAAGCTAATGAGCAGTAATCTCTCATGTTTGGGGGTCCATTAACGCTTTGACCTGTATTGAGCATGGGCTCACGTGTAGGACGCAGTATTGCAAGAATCGACAGCAAGAGGCGGCTAAGGCTTATGCTTATATAGGGCAGGGCAATGGGTCCACAATCCTATGAGATTAAGTGCTTAAAAGTTCCCTACGCTGACGCATGCAGATACAGTTGCTCACATACAAGTCTTGATGAAATTCAGTAGTCCATCCCCTCATCACTTTCATACCAGTCTGAAGGAGCATCAGTCCCAAAGTAACGGTCCCCAAAATTACCTGCAAAACAATTGCAATTACAATATATTTGGGGGTCCTGTTTTTTTCTTCATTTTTGTTAAAGGAACAGTTCACCCAAAACTGAAAATTTGCTGAAACTCACACTCAGGCCATCCAAGATGTAGAAGAGTTTGTTTCTTCATTGAAACAGAGTTGGAAGAATTTTGCATTACATCATTTGCTCACCAATGGATCCTCTGCAGTGAATGGGTGCCGCCAGAATGAGAGTCCAAACATTTGTTAAAAACATCACAATAATCCACACTTAATCCACATGACTCCAGTTAATCAAATTTAACTTCAAACCATTGCTTCCAGCTAAAATACTGTTCCTTTATTCATAATATTGCTTTCTCATCTCTGACTCGGTAGAGAAAAATGCACAGATCAATCACCGTTTACACATGAAAATGGACCAAAACCGTTTTAAACAAATATGTCAGTGGATTTTCAAGTGAAAGGACAATGGGGGATGGATTTTTAAGGGACTTTTGGATTATTGTGATATTTTTATCAGCTGTTTGGACTCTCATTCTGACGGCACCCATTCACTGCAGAGGATCCATTTGTGAGCAAGTGATGTAATGCTAAATTTCTCCAAATCTTTCCGATAAAGAAACAAACTCATCTACATCTTGGATGGTCTGAGGTTGAGTACATTTTCATTTTTGTGTGAACTATTCCTTTAATCAAACTGCTCTTACCAATCCCTGGAATGATGTGAAACTCATCGTTGACCTTCTTGTCCACGGCAGTGGTGATGATGCGCACTTTGGGAAAGGCGTAGGCCACTGAGTGAACGCCCATCTCCGCCATGAGGAGAGAGAGCAGGAATATCTTATCCTCCTGGACATCATGATCCTGGAACAGATGAGTTCGTGAACCACCCTGATTTAAACTATACTGAGCACTAACTAATGTGGATATCAAGGTCTGGAAAAAACACTGTACAAAATAAATAGATAGAATAAATAGTTAAATAAATGTAAAATAATAAAATATAAGGTATATCACTGAGTTAAAATGGTGTCTGTAATGCAATGGCACATTTTTGGAATATATAATATAATATAATATAATATAATAATAA